GGTGTGGACACAGAAATCGCACTCTGGTGTGCACCAAAACAACCAGATGGAGACCTACTTGAAAGTGGCAGCCTTTGCTGTTAACTTTAAATGGAAATGTCAACTGTTAAGTGTCTATTTGCTGGCTGACTGTTTGTGAATAGAAACACATTAGTTCCAGCTGCGTAGTTCTTGCTTTTCTACAAACTGTATAATGGTCTCAAACTGTGAGGTGAATGTAAAAAAAATGCAAAGCAATTTTGTTTGATATTCTAATATTGTGTGGTGTACCACACATAGTATGCTTTGAACAACAAGCTGGGAGCCATTTTAAATCAGCCCGCGGGCCACAGTTGGCCCCGGGGCTGGACTTAAGACATGCCTGTACGACAGTATGCGCTAACTGTTTGTGCAGTCACTGTTCCTCTGTGCTCTGCTGTTCGCTGACTTCACGTTGTGTCACATCGTGTGTGTGTGTGTGTTCTTGTTTTCTGCATGAGGGAGCTGTGTTCCGACACAGAGCAGGTGAGAGGCTGCAGCATAATTATAAATTAGCGCAAAATGCTAAAAAGTACAGATAATGAAACGATAATATCGGAGCGTATTGATACTATGGTCTTTGTTAGGACTGCCCCTTGAAAGTCTGAGATTGGGATCATCAGTCGGAGACTCCTCAGTCAAGTGAAGCCACTTTCACACTACCTGTTCAAGGCGGGAATATCGCACCGTTAAGCCACCTTGCCGTTCTACATATAAGGTACAGTTGCGATAAAGGGGGGCAGAATTGTCTGACCTCTGAGCCGGTAACGGAGGTAGTAACAGCCCCAAACATAAAGCCAGAAAGACGTGACTATGGGCTGAACGTATGTCATTTTGAGTACGTATTATGCTGGTAACCCACCACGGGAGATTTAAAAAGCAACTGATAGCAGTTAGTGGCTAACTCAAAGAAGAATAGGGGCCGTAAATGTCCGCAAATCTTCGAGATCAGCCGCCATATAACAGAGAATGTAAATGATTTTGATTGATGTCACGCTCTTTGTTGTTTGGAAAACGCTGCCAATGCTTATGTTATATGTCTCACAAGAGACCGACGCCCATCACGCCTCTTTTGAGCGCATGATGGAGTCTATAACCACACTGGAGCGGAATAATGCCGCCATCATTTGGTTCTATGTAAAAATGCAAAGGAGGTATAAGGAAGGGACTTTTGGGGGGGGGGGGTCTGTTTTTTCGCTCGTCGGCGTGCTGTGCGGTCTACTTCTGGGGATTTTTTGGGTCCCCATTTTAGCTATGGAGTGAGTGCTCTTGACTTTTTACACTGCTCTTTGGTACAGACAGCTGCAGACACAATGCAGCGGCTTGAGGAGGAGAAACTTACAGCTCACAGCAAATAATACAACACAGTCTCTGGCTTTTGTGTCATATCTAGCGTTGGCAAAAAGTGTTGTCGCGCATTTCCAATCTGTCATTAGCACAGCTAGCTTGTACTTTATTACATGAATGCCACTGTCAGACTGAACGTCCTGCTGATCCTGTTCAAACTTTAAAACTTTATATATATAAAAAAGAACCTGAATCCTTGAATATTCGTGTTGAACAGCCAAATCTGATCCCACTGGAATAGTTCTGAGTCGGATACAGCCCTGGTATTTGATCATTTATGTCTGGGGCTTGTTGAAAATCAGGTTTCAGTTCTTATCCCCAGCTGCTGCTGATTTAATCTTATAAAAAGAAAGTAAAAGTTTCTTCACAGGTTTACCTACACCACGTGTATGTGGGTATTTTTGGAAACAGGGTTTTTCCTCCTTTATTTAAAAAAAAAAAAAAAAAAAAAAATCCCGTCCACACACACACACATAGTTTTTAAAAAACTAAAGTTTAAATAAAAATGCAAAACCACAATTGAAGTGCTGTCTAAACCAACAGGTTGTCGTAGTAGTGTTGGATTATGGAGCAGTGACCTCTGTACCATATTCATTTTCTTACTTGATATGGGGCAAAGTATAATTGCACTGTAACTTTGATTGAGTTCCCTGATTAATTACATTTTAAATCTTGTTCAGGAGCATCATATGTTCTTCTGATGCCACAACAACCTCAGTTCACACCTTGTTCCTGCGACAGTCCACTGTGACGTCCTCCAGGACAGTTGTGTAGGTCAGAGTGATGATCAGACTCGTGATCTGTGTCAAGAATCTTGTTAGCCGTCTATTTTTGCTAATACTTGATGCTAATCAGGTAAAGCCACAGAGGGGAGCGCACCAACACGCAAACACTGAGAGCCACAATGTCTCAGCAGCAAACAGCCCCAACACGCTGCTGCTGCTGCTGCTGCTGCTGCTGCTGCTGCTGCTGCTGCTCGGCTCCTTCCTCCTCTGTCCTCCCATCTCTCGTCGTCTCTGTCCTCCTGACGTCTCTGTTTTGACCACAGTGAACTGTGAAACCATGTAGCGGTGTCATAATGCTGCAGACGTTAGACAGTAATCAGGGGATCACCATAACCCAGCGGCCTGGCCTCCTGGCGGGCAGCAGCAGCGTCTACTGTACATCTCATCTCCGTGTCTCCACACCATTTTACACACATAGCCCGTAGCCACGGAGGCAATTGCCATGGCAACAGCGCATCTCATCTCTTAAAGCAATGTGAATGCGTTTTTACCCCCCCACCTCCTCGTCGTGAGATTTGAATCCATTGTTGGTGTGTTTGAGAGTCATTTTCAGCCAAAAAATGCCTGGTGCCATCTTCTGTAATTATGAGGTGTGTGTGTGTGTGTGTGTGTGTGTGTGTGTGTGTGTGTACATTTGGAGGCTGGAGGCTCAGAATCAGCTGCAGCATCAGCCCTAATAAGAACAAGACAACCTGGATCCATTATTGAGGCTAATACAGTAGATGGAGCTGCCCTTACAATCATACGTTCATGTGATGTTCCAGCTGTTCACCTCAGTGTGTGTCTGTTGGACACGTTTGGGTTCACTGACATTTGACTCGCCCATTAAAGGTATACTATGCAGGATTGTCGGTTACTGTGTGTAAACATGCTCGCCAGAGAAGATGAAAGTAAAAGTAAAATCCAGAATCACCGGGCACATCACCAGGATTTAAACACTGGAAATACTTTTTGGAGTTGTCAACAAAAACCTTCCTGTCTGAATTCATTCAGTCAAATTACAGACGTTCATACCGTTTGCCTGGTTTCCAACAGGTAGTCTCACTAGAAACAGAAATGGCGGACATGCTGTGGAAAGGGACCAGCGTGTCAAGTTGTTCGCAACACTTTTTGAAATCTTTTTCAATGCTGACGAGCTTATTATTTACCCGCAACACTTTGTATTAATTACACACACTGATATATCGCTCAAATCATGTGAAAATGAAACACAGAATCCTATCAGTCGAGTTTATCTCTTGTTCTGGATTGTGTAGATTAATACATCCATCCACTAAGACTTTTTTCTCATTTTAATAGTTAACAATAAAAGTTAAGAACATGTTTGTTCTTGTCGTTCAGGACGGGCCAGTTGTACAAGTGGGTGAGCCCATCTGTTTTTTTGTAGTTGTGTCTCTTGGATGCCTGCGTCAAACAGCCCTGACCTCACACTCATAAACTGGAGCAACTTCTCAGTTTCTGCAGTGTGTTGCATTGTGGGAAAGTAGTTTACAGGTGTTTTTTTAATGCATACGGACTGTCAGAAACAGTATCTAGCGCTAAACTGGGACGCAGCTCTTGAATGTCTGAACCACATTTTGTGCCAGTCCATCTACTACTGAAACTGTTCAATTAAAGGTCCACATTTGACTTGTACATAAGGTCACTCTCCTGTGTGAGCACATACAGATGTTTTGGTGTTGGACTGTGAAGGAATGAAGCATCTCTAACCCTTTCATTTTTATTTATTTTTTTGTTCTTTGTCTGTACTCTGAGAGGGGTATTTAACTATCACGTTACTGTTGTGCTCCTGTGGTTGAAACGGAGTGAACACATGTAGGAATTATCCTCAGGGCACCTTAAAGTAAAGTATGTATTTGTGTCTGAGTGCCTAATGGAGTTGACACTTTTTAAACTGGTCCGATGCTGAGCCAGTGGCTGCGCTCGGGGCGTTTGCACCACAAATTTACATCCACTAAAAGTGCTTGTTTTTGCCACTGACAGGCTCAGATTGTTTTTGTAAGTGTCTGACAACATTACGGAAAGGATCCCTACAGAGATAGAGCTTTTTGAAATAGAGTAAGATCCTTTTTGTTTAACCACAAACAGCCCTGAATTCACTATGGCCAAACCCACCAGACTCCATTTAAATGAAGAGCGATTTAAACATGTATAGAGGCAGCATGTTCACACATCTGACTGGTTGAATTAAGGGTTTATTTCAACAAAATAAGATTTGGGGATTGTCAGAAAAGTAGAAAGATGAACCAAGACAGCTTTTGTAGGTTTTATTTTGCCTCTGTCGACTTTTAACGAAAACGTGTGTAACGTGTGTTACATGATGATAAAATTACCGTTTATTTAAATGGAGTCTGGTGGGTTTGAGGGCAGTGATTTCAGGGTTGTTTTTGGTTAAACAAAAAGGATTTTACCCTTCAACAAAAAGGTCTGTCTCTGAAGGGATGCTTTCCAAAATGTTGTCAGACACTTCAAATAATTATTTGAGCGCTGTGGAGGACCAATTCCCAAAACTGTTGTTCCCAGCAGTAAAAATAGGGTTCAAGTTGAAAAATCCCGATCAAATTTCATGACAATCACCATGATTTCTGCTTTTTGATGACTCCTGAGTTATGCAGTGCTTGTTTTTCTTCGTTGGCTTTGTTGTAAGGCACCTCAACTCCTTGAATGTGGAGACCTATAAATACATTTGATTGTAATTCTGGTGCTACTGTCGTGGTTAAAAAAAGTTCACAGAACACGATGATTTTATCACTGGCATCGGGTTAATTGTAACAACAGCGAGTGTTTGTAAATGAATCAATCGTGTGGGATGTTCCTCCTCACTGTGTGTCTCTCCTTCCTGTCCTCCAGGCTTCCTACTGTTCAAAGACTTCTGTATGAATGAGATCGACGAGGCCGTGCCACAGCTCAAGTTCTACGAAGAAGTAAGTGTCCCATGTGTGTTCGGGATTAGACGGCATCGTGGGATGGGTGAGAGATTAGGCCTGTAATCCTGCTCACTCCCATTTAGCCCTCCCAGGAAGTGCTTTGCATTGTTGTGTCGTGGCGCTGAGATGACCTCGCGTGTCTTCTTTCAGATTAAGGACTACGAGAAGCTGGACTCGGAGGAGGAGAGGCTGAGCCGCAGCCGGCAGATTTACGACGGCTACATCATGAAGGAGCTGCTGTCATGTTCACATGTGAGCACACCGTCTGATCCACACTGCGTCACTAATGCACTCCAGGTCAAGTACATGCAGGGACACACAAAGTGCACCTGCTAGGACGAGGAGGCTCTGTCTCTGTGATGTAGTGGTTCCCAACTTGACGTCTCCCCGTCTCATCTGAGGGCTCTGAGATGACTGGAAGAATAGAAAATAAAAACATACTCCTCTAGAAAAGCTGCAGAACAAACTGAGGACATGGAGTTTTAAAGATGTAGCTGGAGGCAAGGAGGGTTTAGCAAAACATACATTCAGGTTGCATCATGGGAAGTGTAGGATCCAGTGCTTTTGAAGCTTTAGTCATTTAAAGGAGCACTTCACCCCTCAAATGATCACTTGTATATCAGTTACTCACCCTGTGTTAGGTTCAGTTAATGAAGAAAACTTGCGCTTGCTTCCATGATGAATGAAGAATCCAAATCTGAGAGAATTTTTGATGAATTGAAGTCATAGGGGTCCACTTTTAATGACAGAAAAACTATATCAAAACATCAGTTTAGAAATTCTCACACAACTCGTGCAGTATAATCGAAGTCTCATTTATCTCAGTCGTATGCTCAGTACGTCTTTAAGAGAGACCTGAAAGGGAAACTTATCGATGCTCTCTTCAAAGCCAGACTCCATTGACAAAAACAGTAATTTTACCTCACTGAGCACAGGAGCTGCTGGTCTACTGCTGCCTCGATTAGTCAGTTTGCTTATGTTGTTGTGTGACTTTGGTGTTTGAAAGGGTTAGTTCGGTTTCCCCTAAGTCACACAATAACACAAACAAACTAACTGATCGAAGCAGCGGTAGACCAGCAGCTCCTGTGTTCAGTGAGGTAAAATTACTGTTTTTGTCAAGGGAGTCTGGCTTTGAAGAGAGCATAGATAGGTTTAACTGTTAGGCTACCTTCAGCCCTAGAGTCGTCTCCTTTGGTCTGAATCAGGGACTAATTTTGTTCCAAAGTTGTATAGTTGCCTAGAGTTGCTTCATGCTCGTGGACCAGATCAAATGCCTTGTGTGAGAAAGCTGCTCTTGATTGGTCAGAATTTCCATGCGGGAAAAATCCAGGAAGTAAAGCAAACGTTGAAGAAGAGTACACTTGCAAGATAAATGTGACACTTTCTAATGTCACAATGGAGGGACAACTACGCAGGTTGATTTTAGCGCTGCTCATCGTGGACTATATTGCTGTCATTGTTCAATTTAGTCAAAGCATACAGTTTGAAAACGAGGCGCGGCTCCAACTAGAAAACAATGTTTTGATGCATTGGATGTGCTGAATGTGCATATTAAGGCAGTACAGGAGGAGGTGCACATTAATAATCCTCCAGGACTGTAACATGCTCATGTTTAACCCAAACAATGTGTCATGTGACTGCAGTTGCTTCACATCCAGGTCGGAACACCTTCTCACCACAAACCAACCGCACCAGAGTTCCTTTGTAACCAGACTGAGACCACCTCTTCAAGAAGGTCTCAGTCTGGTTGTTTTGGTGCTCACCGGAGTGCGATTGCTGTGTTCACACCTGCCCAAACGAGCCGCTTTTAGGGGGAACTTCAGTTTGATTGAACTGAACCAAACAGGGCAGGTGTGAAAGCACCCTAAGTATAGTTCTGCATGAGTGTATGAGAGTTTGTAAACAGATTTCTGATATAGTTTTGCTGCTGTTGTTTTTTTTTTGTTTTCTCTTCCACAAATTTAACCCTCAATCTTGCTTTTAAATGATCACTAAAGGTCTACAGCTGAGTGCGGTAGAGGAATTCAGCATTTGAATTATGCATTACATAGTTATGTTGGATAGGTTATTTTTAAATGAAATAATTATATAGAAATTGTTACAAGCAATTCATTTTGTGTTTGTGTGACAAAACAAATACTTAAACATGATGCTGACAAAAAAGTCAGATAAATTAGCATTATTTGGCATAAATTAGCATAATTTTACTACTACAGTTCAGTTCTGTTGTTTTATTTTGACTGTTTTTTTTTGCTCTAGTGGTCACAGTTACTGGATTTTCTCCAGAAAAATTCAATAAATATGACAGAGTGAGACCAAACTACGTCCATACTATATTATAGTAACTCTACATATGATGTACCAACTCAAAAAAGTGAGTGATGGTGTTCATATCCCCCACAAACAGCACACCACAGTGCAGCTTTTGTCCTCCAGCAAGGCAACAATTTAGGATGTAAAGCAGAGTTAATGCTCGCTGCTGAAGGGAGGAAGTTATTAAACACACCACCCACCCACCCACGCACACACACGCAGATATTAGTCCTCTTCATGGTGACGTCCTGGTTGTGTTACACTAGGGGACGCGCATTGTCTTACAGAGAAAACAGAACTGAAACTACTGGTAAAGCTGCATTTTCTGTAATGACCCTTCCTTTTATTTCCTCCTCTTTGTCTCAGCCGTTTTCAAAGAAAGCAGTGGACCATGTGCAGAGTCACTTAGCAAAGAAACAGGTTCCCCCGACTCTCTTCCAGGTAAAACATCAACCTTTCAACATGTTTATCAGTGTTTCAGTTTCTTCTTTTCCTGATTTAACAGCAAGAAACACATGACATATGATGTATTGTTGTTCACAGGTGTGCTTTCCCTGTTGTGACATAAACAAAACTATATTCAGAGTAATGTAATAAAAATACCACACACTAAACTCTCAGCACAAGAAATGATTTGTGCTCTGCAGTGATGGCCGACAGTGGATAATTAAAGTATTGGAGACCTCCCTTATTTTTGTACTTTGCACCCTCGACACATCTGAGGGTGTAAATTATGCACACACACTCTCTCTCTCTCTCTCTCTCTCTCACACACACACACACAGAGTAACCTTTACAGGCCTTACTTTTACAGGATGCTGCAGTTTCTGACCTTTCTCAAAATGGCTGTAGTGGATTTGTGTGATGGCTGGGCGATATAAAAAACAAAACAGATAAAACTTTTTGCAACACCTGTCAATATTGATATACGTAATTTAAAAAAAAAATCTTCCCCATTGAGTTTAGGAATCTCATAAAGATTAACGTGATGGCCACCTATGGTCGTTCTCTGCTGCGGCTAATAATAGCTTTGTGTCTGTGATGCTATTGGCTGTTAGTAAGTTGTCAGGAAATGTTGTTCTGTCGGCGGGTTACGAAAGTTACTCATTTCCTTATTAAAGGTTCACTATGGAGGATTTTCCTGAAAAACAGTGTCACACAGTGTGTAGACTCATGCAGAAGTAATCCCTCTCAGTCGTCACGTATGACCCACTCTCAGTGTGTGGTGGTGTATTTGTCTGCAGAGACTCTGCCCTCTGTCTGTATTCTCTGTGTTGTGGATGTTTTGTGTTCCCCCACAGCACTCAGGTGAGGTCGGGGCTTTATAAAAAGATAGTGACCAGGAGCCAGATTGTAAGCAGCAGGCATCCAAGAGACACAGTGCAGAAAAAGCACAAATATAGCAAGATGAAACGCCACACACTTTCGCTGCAGCGGGCTGCCCCCGACTAAGAATTTACCTTGTCAGCCAGTAGTTGTCATTTAGGCCCGTTAGTCGACTAGTCGCCCGAATGTTTACAATATTAATTCAATTATTAAATGATATATTTTGGTGGTTTGAGTTGAAGGTGTGAGAAAGAATAGTATCAGTAACATTGTTAACACTGTGCTACATTACAGAGAAATACAAACCGTACTAATGAACCTTCATTAATATAGGCCTATATTTTATCTCCAAGTGCACGTCACACACTGAGTGAGCCGCCTGTTAATGACGCTGTGGGCTAATGGGCATGTAGCTACTTCCATGTTTCAGATGATACGTCATGTTTGTAGTCGACCAATGAAGATGAGTTTACATATCACCTTGGGTTCGTCCTTCACCTTCTCAAAATGATCCCACACTTTGGATTTCCTGCCCGACATGTTATTAACTAGCATGTGGAATAACCACAGGTACCAGCCCTGGAAATTAACCTGACTCCTGTCTGACTGCTGAGCGTGGACACTTCCTGTGTCTGTCCTTTCACATTAAATTCCCACATGGTCCAGTCATATAGGTTTTGATTTATTTTGACAAGGGGCAGCTCCTTATAACTAAGCGACCAATGACCTTTCTGGTTGACTATCAGGGGGCAGCCTCTCAAACCGTATACTTTTAGGGAAATGTTTCTAAAAGTGTTTGTGTATTTTCTATCGCCCAGCCTTGATTTGCAGTTTGTTTTCATCCCCTCCAACTCTATCAAAATTATTTTTAAACTCCGGATTCTCAGATTCATGCTGCTGGTAATTACATTCATACATTCAGAGAGGCGCATCAATTGCCAAAAGGCCACCCAGGAAAATGAAATACTGAGAAACAAGAGTTCTTTCAGCTCAGTAAATCTAATCAACAATTTCCCGCTTTAGACTACAACAACACGGCTCTTATCCTGGATTCAGTTTATCCCCAGTGATATTGCATCAACCTGTCAGTATTTCCTGTACAGTTTGCGAGCCCTTCGGTGTCGCTCAGATTTTTATGTTCAGCTGGAAACACTGAGGCGTCTTTGGAGCAAACACACAAATGTTCACTGGGAGTTTCTGTGCAGTGGATTAACTTTAACAGCAGACAACAGGAGGCAAACAGAATCTTCGTGAAGTCAAGATCAGTCATCACAGCAGTGCACAGAGGATATATTCACAAACATTGGCAGATAATTTAAACCTCATAGTTATGACTGTGTCTGTCCCCCTGCAGCCATACATAGTGGAGATCTGTGACAGCTTGAGAGGGAAGATCTTCCAGAAGTTCATCGAGAGGTGAGACGGGGAGGTGGAGGGGATGGATGGAATAGCTTCATCATTTGTTCAACTGATCCACTAAATTCACATTTTACCTTCTGTGTTTTTCCCCTCAGTGACAAATTTACTCGCTTTTGCCAGTGGAAGAACGTGGAGCTCAACATCCACGTGAGTACAAGCTTTAAAGTCACTGTTCACAGCTGTTGTTTGGTTCATTGGGTCCAGACCAGAGCTCCTCCAAGTCTGATAGTCATGCTCTCAATTTTGGAACTACTGCTCCCATGGTGCTTTTGGGGATGCCAACAGGAAGTATAATGTCGCCACACTGTTCGCCTTAATTTGAGGCTTTTTGTGCGATGATTCTCAGTGAAGTTCTGCAGTTGTAAGGAGTGTCTGTTTTCTATCATTTCTAAGCCAGTTTTTGGATATTTATTGATAAGTTAACCTTTAAACCCTTGAATTTTGTTGAATCTGTCTCTTCAGATCTTCAGCTTTATGGAGGTACAATACTAAATTGCTCGACAGTTGCGTTAAAGTGTCAGGCAGGGACTTTTTAAGCCTGTATTGGCAAATTGTCACCATTAAATGTTTGCCAAATTAGCTATTACTAGTTCCTGTTTACAGTGTACCCATGCATGTGCAGACAGCTGTCACTGGATTACTTTGATACTGAAGAAAACAAGATTTCTAAGTGAATTTCTGGACGTTAATTTGCAACAAATAAACCTTTGTACCCTTGAATCTTTCTCTTCAGTTGTTTAGCTTCCTGAGGTACAGTCCTTTATTGCTGGAGTCTTTTTTTTAAGTGACAGCCAGAGACTTAATAGATCTGTGGTTCCCAACTAGTCCTGCCACGGAGTCCAAGTTTCTCCTTTGTCATTAGCTCAAGGTCCACACAGTTAAATACGAGTGTGGCCATGTCGTCGAGCTAGTTTGCTGTCTCTGACAAGTAGCTGTCTGTAAAGATAGTGTGTTTTTTCAAACTTGACACGTTTGAAAGCCACTTGCGCTCCATTCAGAAAGGACCTGCCACCCACTTTTGTGCCTCAACCCACCAGTTTTGAACCATTGTTATCTTACTATATAATGACGAAAACTCAGTCTGTGTGTGTGTTCCACGTTTTTCTCCTCACTGACTTGGTCAGTCCATGTGAAATTTGGCACAGTGGTAGAGGGTCATGGGAGGATGCCAATGAAGCAATATTACATCAATTGGCCAAAGGGGGGCGCTATAGCAACCGATTGAAATTGCAAACTTTGAATGGGCATATCTCATGCCCCGTATGTCGTAGAGACATGAAACTTTGCACAGAGATGCCTCTCCTCATGAGGAACACATTTGCCTCAAGAACCCATAACTTCCGCTTATATAGATTTTCCGCCATTTTGAATTTTTTGAAAAACACTTCAAATGGATCTCTTCCTAGGAAGTTTGAGTGATCTGCATGAAACTCAGTGAACATAATCTAGGGACCAATATCTAAAGTTCCCTCTTGGCAAAAGTTGGAAAACTTACTAAAACTGAGCTTCTATAAGGCAATGAATATTGCGGAGGGCGTGGCTCATCACATAAAGGTGTATAACATCTCAAGGGTTTCACCCATCACCACGCAACTTTGTAGGCATATGATCACACATAATCTGAGGGGACCCCTCCATTATTGACCCCATCAAACAAAATGGGGGCGCTTGAGAGCTCATTTCTTATCTAGGCCTAACCTCCATATGGATTTTTACTAAACTTGGTAGATATGTAGAACAGGACGCCTCAAGGTGACTGGAGAAATTTAACTCTAATTGGCAACTGGGTGGCGCTATAACAACAGAAAAATGCTTCAAAATGGCTAAAATGCGACCAATCGCTGTGGCTCCCCCTGTGGACAAATGTTTCGGTTTTTTTTTCTAATTTTTGGTATGACTAAGTCATGGTATGGTATGCTGTACATAATCACGGAAACTGTCAGTCAGTCATTCTGTCTGTCCCACGTTTTTCAAAAACTCTGTCTGAATACATTTAGTAGATCATATTTACAAACTGTTTATATTAAAAGTATGCCGAATTACTCATAAGCAGCTCAGGTGAAGCAGGGAGGTTCTGCAGCTATAAGGAGCAGATCTCGGCTTTATGGACGAACGATACTAAATTATTGGAGAATTGCTTTAAAGTGTCAAGCAGGGATTTTTAAACCTTTATTTGCAAAATGTCTCCATTAAAAGTATGTCAAATTAGCTATTACTAGTTCCTGCAGTGTACCCATGGACGTACGGACAACTATTTTGATACTAAAGAAAACGTAATAACCTCATGGTTCTCAGGCAAGTTCTGCAGTTATAAGCAGCACCTTTTTTCTATGACATCTAAGCGAATTATTTGAACATTTATTTGCCATGTTTATAGTTGACTTTATTGTGACTGTAAGGGTTGTTTGCACGTGTTGCTTTCTCCCTCCGACATCCTTTCTTCAAATCTCTCGCCTTAGTTTAAAAATCTCTGGTCCAGACCAAAATAAAAATCAAAAGTACACTCTTAGTTCCCGTCCTTTTCATGTTTACGCCGACTTACTACAAATGAACCAAGAGATGTAAACATCACACCATATGGACTGACAGGTAACTCATTCATTGGACAGCTGTAGTGACTCATGCTGCATCATCAGGATCAAGATCAGAACAGTGTTTGTTCCGGTGACTGATAACGAGTCATGCAGCACTTCACTGCAACTAATGTGTTTACTTCTGTTATTTGGTGCCAAAAAGAGAAGAGAAGAAGCAGGCGATTCTGAACCGTTTTCAGGGTTCCCACGGTCATGAAAGTCTTGGAGAAGTTCAAATCCACCAATCGCACCAATTTGCTCAAATTCAAAAGTTTAAATTCTTGTGAAAGAAAAGTGATGTCACTCCAGGTTTCAGGTTTAATTCCCTCTGCTCTTTATCCCCCCTCTCAGCTGACCATGAACGACTTCAGCGTGCATCGGATCATCGGCCGGGGCGGCTTCGGCGAGGTGTATGGCTGCAGGAAGGCCGACACGGGGAAGATGTAAGGAACAAGAACAGAAAGCTTTAAAGGACTCGATCATGCTGTGACTGCTGGTGTGTCATCTGTGGCGTTTGTTGTTTGAATGTCAGGTACGCCATGAAATGTTTGGACAAGAAGAGGATCAAGATGAAGCAGGGGGAGACTCTCGCGCTCAATGAGAGAATCATGCTGTCGTTAGTCAGCACAGGGGTGAGTTATACCCGCCAGCAGCTACTGGTCAGTGTTTATTAGAGACTTGTTATAACGAGGCGAAGTAGAGATGTAGGCCTCACTGCACTGAGAAAGGTAACAGCACAGTTCTTACGTGGAGATTAGTTGTTCATAAACATTTACACCCAGTACTTATCAGGTGATATATGACCTATTTATCTGGAATCACAAAACATTACACCAATTATGTCAGACTAAATGACCATATAGGGCCTGGTGAGATCATTCCCATTCATTTTAAATATTAGAAACTTTGGAACAGACATATTTCTCCATGTACGCAGATAAGATTAAGTCATACCTTCAGTGAGAAAGGTTAAAGAGACGTCCACATTAGAGACGTTATGTTAGCAATAACGGTTTTACAAACGGTTTTACCCTCTTTACATCGGCTCCCTGTTTGTTTTAGGATTGATTTTAAGATCCTATTGATTACTTTTAAGGCAGATTACATTTCAGACCTTTTAATCCCTGATGAATCTGTGCATCGTGAGATCCTCGGGCAGAGGTCTTTTATCTGCTCCAGACTGAAGACTAAAGGGGACAGAGCTTTTGAAATCAGGGCCCTGAGGCTCTGGATAACGTTCCTGGGACATAAGTCTGTCTCAGTCAATGTCTTCATTCAAGTCTCTCCCAAAAACATACTTCTATCGGAAAGCATATCCTGATTTTATCTGAGCTGTCTGTTTTTCTGCTATTTTATTGATATTAATTTTCATTTATTATATTTCCCTTTGATCCATGTCTGTACTCTTTGTGATCCTGGTGGCGGGCTGACTTGAACTACAGCCTGCCACTAGGAACACAGCTCAAAACTGAATTTTATTTGGGAGGGGAGTATGGAGACCTGGGCACTGGTTAGATGGAGGAAAGTTTACAACAGTTTATCTACTCGCACGACCCACATTGTTACGATACAAAACTGGTTGAATATCAGTGAGTTATCTCTTAAAGTATAATTTTGATGTACTTGTTCTTAACCTTAAGTTCTATTCGGACGGGATTAGTTTTACAGGGATGTGGACTAATGTCAGTTTACCGCAGGATGTCTGTAATATAAATGTCTGAGTTGCACGTGACAAGAAATCTCCGTAATTCTACCAGAGATGGGAGCGGTAACTCGGTTTGCGCCCTGGCGTCACCTCCCATCGGCATGTGTGTGCTACGTTGCTTCCTGTAAGCATCAGCTGAAGGATAATAATAATTAATGATTAGCAATATGAAATATTGCCCATGATCAGGATTGTGTGTACACAACGATTAGCAATATGGATTTATATTAGGCCTACCTAACACAACCAGAAGTCTCGTGGCTCTGAAAAGTGCTTTTGTCTCGACCTTCTTGATTGGTCTCCCACGTACACTAGGGCTATGCCATCATTAGAAGAATGTGCACTATCACGACTGCCGACAACACCGAATGCTTCTTCAAGCGCCTCCATCATTGAAAAAAATGAGGAAAACTTTGTAAACTTGGAAAAATGGTTGTAGTAGGACGTGACGAAATATTTACACATATTTTTACAGAGGATCGCGTTCGCATGGGATTAATATACCCGAGGTATTTTCTTCTGACCGTTTTACAGAAGGTAAAAGTCTCCGTAATTTTTACTGACATTATCCTGAATGATTACAGACATGGCGCGTTCGGACGGGACTAAAATCCCTGGTAATAATTACTTTACTTTACTTTTACGTAAGGCTTTTGTGCAGTGTACCCCACCTGCAAACACAAGGTAATGTGTGCTTTAGATAATTGTATGAACTAAATGAAAGTTAATTAATGTATGACAGCTTTACTTCTTTATCAGGAGCATAATGAGGTTGCTGGTTATAGAACAGCATTAGGTGCTGTCTCTGTTTTGCCAGCAAGCATAGTTGGTATAGTTTCACTAGAATTAAGTGGCGAGCCAGCAGCAATGTGTGTGAAATTAATGTCTGATAATCTAAACGACTATGAACTCAATATTACTTAGAGACTGGAAGGGACGGCACTCGGTGTGCTCCAGCCATAAATGCTCCACAAACTTTCAACTGATTTTACCACGAGGCTGTTAGTGGCGTTCATGTCCTAACAGACCTGTTATCTGTTGGCTTTTCCTGCTCCCATTAAAACTCTTCTATTGGTCAGCCTTTAGTCGAGACCCCATGTGACGTTGCAGACAGGTATGAAGAGACATTTAAGCAAGTATTTTAGGCTAATAGGTGTAAAATTATCCAATATTTTACAAAACGCAAAGAGAAAAGATCAAAATATTATCATTTTTTTGCTGATTCTACTTCTGCTCTTCAGTGTAACTAGGATCTGTTAGTCGTATTGGAGTATTTCTACTTTCTTGTATTTGTATTTTGACTCTCTGACTCTCTGTGTCTGCAGGACTGCCCGTTCATCGTGTGCATGACGTACGCCTTCCACACCCCCGACAAGCTGTGCTTCATCCTGGACCTCATGAACGGTAGGATGACCTCCACCCTCCACCCCCACCTGCCCAGATTATTAAACCCGACCCCAGTCAGTCCATACTGAGACGCACAGATTGGATTACTCAGACAGTCAGACAGTCAGGTCATTCCTCCCACAGAGAATCAAGAGTTGATGGGATTTTGACCTCACTGCTGACGCCTCACGACCTGCATTTGTATTATCCCTCCTCACATCTAAAACCAGCTCTGCTCTGCTCTGCTCTGCTCTGCTCACACCTCATTGTTTCCTCGTACGGGTTTCTTTATCAAAGCCCTGAGTCACCTCTTAGAGTCGACACAGTCATCATGGTACAGCGTACAGTATGAGACTGTAGCCCTAGCTGAGCTATAAATACAGTCAGTCAATACATGTGAAGACAGTGATGGTTGGGGGGGGGGGGGTCACAGAAGGCTTCCCGTCGATTCTCATTTTCCTCCCCGAGAGGGTTACCATAATGTATTGATGGATAGAGGCATGAGGTAGTATGAGGTCATACTGACACACTATGTTGTGTATATCATTGTGTGTGTGTGTGTTTTCAGGGGGTGACCTGCACTACCACCTGTCTCAGCACGGTGTGTTCAGTGAGAAAGAGATGCGTTTCTACGCAGCCGAAATCATCCTGGGTCTGGAGCACATGCACAACCGCTTCGTTGTCTACAGAGACCTCAAGGTGCGCTGTCTGGTTTTGTAATGTATAAAGAATGTCAGGTGATTTATTTGGTGCTTTAGATTGGATTATGGTGCATAATAATGTAGGAATGCACTTTTGCTTTGTGCTTTTTAATATATTCTTTTTATTTTTTTACTTTATGTTTATACATTGTTTTTGTTATTTCATATTTGTGTATTCTTTTTATTTTTAATTTATTATATATATATATTTTCTTTTTGTTTTTTCCATTTTTATACATTCTTTTTATTTATTTTACTTTTTTTACATTCTTTAATTTTTTTTTTCATTTTTAGATATTCTTTTTATTTTTTGTTCTTTATTTTTTATATATGCTTTTATTATTTATTTCAATTTTACATATTCCGTTTTATTTTTACTTTTTTATATATTTTTTTGTTTATTTATTTTTTATATATTCTTTTTTGTTTATTTCATTTTCGTTATTTTTATTTTGCCTTTTTTATATATTGTCTTTGTTTATTTTTACTTTATCAGTATTTTTTTTGTTAATTTTCATTTTTATGTCATTTTTTTCTTTTTACTTTTTCATATACTTTTTCATTTTTTAATATATTCTTTTTTATTTCTTTTTAATTTTTATATTAATTCTTTTTGTTTATTTCATTCTTTTTATTTATTTTATTTTTTTGATATATTACTAATAATGATAGAAAATTTAGTCTATTCATTATTCACATATATTTATAAGCAAGTCTGATATTCAGATTATTTAATGGAAATATTTAGAAAACAGTCCAGTGAAAGGAATGACATGTGACACAGATTCAAACCTGAAACATCAAAGATGTGCATGATGCGACTCAGTCCACTGATACACCATCACATCTCCACAAACGCTGTTTCAAAGCCACAGATTGATATCAGCCATGTTTTCAGCTGTCCTCTGTTTTTCCTCTGATCCCCCTGTTTGGACTGGTTGCCATAATAACAGATATATTCTGCTGGAAGTCAGGGAACAGTTTTAGGGCTTCAATAAACAGTGCAGAACAATGCAGATAATACTTTGAGGCTGAGTGTTGGAGGGGGAAGACAGAGAGTGAGTCACGTTTTTTTGCCAAACAGCGGAGGATAACCAGGACAGGAGGTTTTTCTTTTATTGTCTGTATCCACGCAGAGTTTTTCTCCTGGTGAGCGGAAATTGGAGCTTAAGTCGTGAATTAGTGGGGTCTCCAACATTGTTTCCTACGCTTATGATGTTATCTCTTGTATTCACCATCAATATCACCCTCTCTATCCCTCCTCCCTGTGTCTCTGCCCATGTGTGTGTCCTCCCTTCAGCCAGCTAATATCCTGTTGGATGAGCACGGTCATGTTCGTATCTCCGACCTCGGCCTGGCCTGCGACTTCTCCAAGAAGAAGCCCCACGCCAGTGTGTAAGTACCTGTGTTAAAGGATTTACTGCTCCAGGGGGAGGTGGGGTGATTTAAAGACTGGTCACTGATTTTGATCCCAACGGTGCTGTTGAAAAGTTTGTAATCAGCTGTTACACTGATGTTTTTCTTCTTTCCTTCGATCATAACGACTTTACAGAGGTAAAAACAACATAAATCAGACACTTCAGACACACACTTGTCTTAGTTACATTTCTAAACAAGAGGAATGTAATGGGTCAGTGTCCCCAGTGTCTCATGACACGGGAGAATGCTGTGTGAACTTCGATTTTGAATTTGTTTTACAGTCCAGACAAGTCGTAGAGACCCTTGATTGAACCACAAGGGTGCAACTGGGCTCTGACTTTTGAGTTAGTCTGGTTTTTAGGGATGCACGGTAACATCGGTATAGTGTTGTCACGATACCAAAATCTTTGTTTCGGTACTAATACCAATATGAATTTGGATACTTTTTGATACTCTTCGGTACTTTTCCTAAGGAAAAGTCCTTTTGGATACAAACCTTTAGAACAATAAATAGGTGTAACGGTACCAAAAAAATCATGGTTCGGTAAGTACCTCGGTACAGACGTCACAGTTTGGTAACTCAAATGTTCCACCAAGTTGGTGTTGTCTCGTGTTGTCTCCCTTTGCGAGGCAGACTTTCTCTTGTCTTTTTTCACATGCGCCAGCTGCGAATGTTGATACAGGTGTTGTCATACACACCACTTGCGCAATCTGTGCTCCAGTAGGAACAAAAAAGGCGTTTGTGTGCATAAATGAGTAAAATAATTTAATTAAATTAATTAATTTAATCAATTTTAAAGTACTGGTTTTTTCCAAATGCAGTATAGTACCGTTTGGAATACTCTAGTACCGCGGTACTATTTTAGTACCGGTATACCGTGCAACACTACATCGGTACATCATCAGCAGATAAAGGCTTTGAAATGAAATATTAGCATCAGCCTGAAATGAACAATTTGCCGATACGACAGGGAAATAAAATGCCATTTTAATAATGCAGCTGAGCTCCTGTGTGAGAGCAGAGGCTGAGCAAAACAGCAGCGAAACACCGCTCTCCGTAAACAACAGCTAAATGCAGAGTGAGGCTGTTTATTTATGTTATTTACTGAAGTTATGAGAACTTGTTTTCATTTTAGCTCAGGATGTTCGTCTCTTGGGTTTTGCTGTCATCTTTGGTGCATGGTGTTTCCCCATCCTGCTTAAAGGAGAGACAATCAGTTTTGTAGAACCAACGGTAGTCACACTCATCACGCCACTGCTGTTGTGAGCATTTATACTTGTGCGGTGGTGTGTCTGTGTCACTCTGCAGTTACAAGTACACAAATCAGCTTCACTATAACTCGCAGCATTCACAGACAAACACTTGTCTTTATCTGGACACATTTTCCCCACAAATACAACATGCTAACGTTATTAGCACAAGCCTAAGGCATTTTACATTGTATAAATTAGCTTAGTGGCTAGCAGACTTTTCCTCTGCTCATATAAAACCAGGGACAACAGCAACATTTACAAAGGTAACATTACATAATTTGGCTCCATTACAACTCACAAGGTTCACTGATAAAACAACTGTCTTATACTAAACACGTTTTCCAAACAAATATAACATGCTAACGTTATTAGCACAAGCCTATGGCATTTTACATTGTATAAATTAGCCTAGTGGCTAGTGGACTTTTCCTCTGCTCATATGAAGCCAGGATAAATCACACACAAGACTAAAGATGCTATTTTAGTGGAGGCTTTATTTTCTTTGATCCCTCTGCAGTCTTGAAGAGGTTTATGCTGTAATTTGTCGGGACTTTCTACATCATAAAAGCACCAAAAACCATTCAGACATTTAGAGTCGTCGTCTCACACATCTGACTTTTGGGGCAGGAGATTACAAACTTTTCAACAGTAATTGAACCAGTAATTATGACTGTCTTTAAACTGTTTTTTGGGTAATGTTATGGTCATTTTGTAATTTCGCTCAGGGCTGAGTTTGACGAAGGGAAAAAAAAGATTTAGCTGACTATTCAATATTATCAGTCCACTTGTACCATGACTGGAAAAGTAAAGATTTTAAGACTTCATCCAATGGGTCAGGCGTGTTTTTGTGTAGCTGTACCAATGAACATGTTCCTCTCTGACAAATGAAATCATCCTAATCTACATTCAGAAGGAAATATTTACACAGTTTGCAGCTCTCTGTGGTTCTGATTAAATTATTCATATTGATTAATCCAGTGTTTCTTAAATGTTGCTTTACTTTGGAAGGATGTGTTGCAAATGCACATAATGATGCTGAAAACATCCTGAAAGATGGGAGACATTTATTATGCTGCACTTAATTTTTAATGCACTTGCCTCTGATATCCATTGTGAGAGACGGTTTTCCTCACAGTGATGTCATTGATTTTCTTTGCTTAATGTCCTGTTTATTTATAGAGATATATGCATGCAGCTGTGTTGTCAGACCTGATGATCAATTAGATGTTTGTTGATACGGGACTTTAAAAGGTTTGATTTTATGGTTTTGTTAATGAGACAAGAAAGAAAAATATAATAATAATCAGTGAGCCTGCTGGTGATGCAGGTCACATGTTTCTCCTGCAGCATCTTTCTGTAATACAGCAGCAGCTCCAGTAATTTACCAGAAGCTAAAATGCCGTGCGGAACAACAACCATTATAACGAGAGACGAGGGAAAATATTTCATTACCCACCTTCTCCTCAAATATTAATCCTGCCCGAATGTGTAGAGCTGCAGTGGAAGCACATATCCTCCAATGTGATGAAGAAAAACCTCATTATGATGAGATACTTTCACAAAATAATGAGCTGGTATTTCATAATATATGCGTTTCTCATTATTTTGAGGTGGTGTGTCATTATGTTGGGATACGAGGCCAATTTCTGAGAAACTAAGTCACTTTGGGGAGATACTTAATGATGTTTTCAAGATAAGAAAGTAATTATTTTGAACAAGTTTGTCATTATTTTAAGAAAATGTCTCAAAATAAAGTCTCTATGTTAAGATACTAAGTCTTTATTTTCAGATAAGCACGTCATTATTTTGTGAAAGTTTTTTTTTCTTACTTTTGAGATGCTAAGTCATTATTTTAAGATGCGCTATTGTAGATATTAATATTTCAAGATACGCAGGTCATTATTTTGACATACTAAGTTATGATCTATAGATATTATGTCATGATTTCCAGAGAAGCAACACATACTTTTGATATGTTGTCATTATTTGGAGACACTGAGTCATAATTTTGAGACGAGTATGTCATTATTTTGAGATATTATGTCACTGCTTTTTGATAATAAGCCATTAGTTGAGATACTCATTTTTTTGATACACAGAGTCATTATTTCGAGATGAGCAAGTCATTACTGAGTCATTATTATGAGATAACATGTCATTATGATGGGATACTAAGCCATTTTTTGAGACATGGTTGTTTTGCAGTACAAAGTTATTATGTTTAAGTACTAAGTCGTTGTTTTGGGACACCAAATTATTATATTTAAATAAGTATGTTATTATTTTCAGGAAGTTTATTTTTTATTTTTGAGATGCTAAGTAATTATTTCAAGATATGCAAGTCATTATTTGAGAAAGTAAAGTCATACTTTATAGATAAGCAAATGATCATTTCTGAATTTTTTGGACATACTGAGTCATTTTGAGATATTATGACATTCTTATAGATATTAAGTCATTATTTCCAGATGAGCAAGTCGTTATTTTGAGATAGTGATTCATATTTCAAGAAAAGCAAGTCATTTATTTAAAATACCAAGTCATTATTTTGAGATCAGCAGATTATGATTTTGTGAATTTTTATAAATACTTCTTGATTATTTCGAGATAAGCAAATCATCAGTATGAGAAATGTTTTTAAGTTTTTAGGTACGACTGCTGCTGTTCATAGATATTATGTCATTATAGATACTAAATCATTATTTCCAGGTAAGTCATTATTTTAAGATATTTTAATTATTTTGAGACAGTCATAATTTGGAGATTATTTTGAGATGAGCAAATAATTATTTTGAAATAATAATTTATAATTTCAAGATAAGCAAGTCATTATTTTGTAATTGTTTAATTTTTTTATATTTTTTGAGATACTAAGTCATTATTTTTGATAAGTTATGTCTTTATTTTGACATACGATAGATAAGCAAAAATCATTTTGTGAATTTTTTTTGAGATACTAAGTCATGATTTAGAGATTCTTAATTGTAGATATATCAATTTTCAAGATATGCAAGATAAGCAAATTATTTTAAGATAACAAATCATCAATATTTTCTTTATTTTTGAGACACTTAGTCATTATTTCTAGATATTATGTCTTGTTTTTGAGGCACAAGGTCATTATTATACAATATTACGTCAGCATTACAGTTACTGAATAATTATTTAGAGCTATGCATGTCATTATTTTGAGATGTTATGTCCCTTTGAGACATGAAGTCATGATCTCGAGACAAGCCATACATTTCTTGAAGAGAATTTCTCATTATATTGAGATATCAAGTCATCATTTAAAAATAAATATGTCATTATTTTGAGAGGGGTTCTAAGTGTAATGGCCAACAAGATGTTTTTTCTTCATCATAAAGCTAAGTTGTCATTTAATTTTTTCTTTAATGGCTTCTATAAGTGTGTGTCTGACATGAAGCTGTGCTGTGTGTTTGTCACAGGGGCACTCATGGCTACATGGCTCCGGAGGTTCTTCAGAAGGGGACGGCGTACGACAGCAGCGCCGACTGGTTCTCTTTAGGCTGCATGCTCTTCAAACTCCTCCGAGGGTAACCACTCCAGCTATCTCATCCTCTTCTCCTTTTTCCTGTGCTCTTCACTTCCTGTCTGCTTTCAAACCCTCTTCAGAGTTAAATCTCTTTGAATCAGCTCTCCACCTTCTCCACCGTTTGGTGTGTGTTTGATCTTGTTTGTGCGCGAGCCTGTGTGTGTGTGTTTGTTTGATCTGGAGTGTGTAAATGCCAGAGGTCCGGGCCCAGTAGGTCAGGAATCGAGAGAGAAGAGTGTGTGTGACGTGTCCTTCCATTGATGTTTGGATTGGTGTGTTTGAACACTTTAAAGAGGAAGAGCGTGTCGGTCTTTGGTGAAAGGTTGGCTGCGGCAGAGACGGACGGACATGTTTTAACACTCAGGTCCAAAATTATGAATCCCAAAGCTAATTTTAGTTTCATTAATTCTGTTATAAACAGTTAAATATATTTTTTCTTGCAGGAAAATAAGGTTTTAGCTCACACTCAGGACTATTCCAGCTGGAGCTGCCTTTCTTGATACAAGGTCGGAACACGTTCTCACCATAAACGAACCGCACCAGAGTTTGTTTGTAACCAGACTGAGAACACCTCTTCAAGAAGGTCTCGGTCCGGTTGTTTTGGTGCGCACCTGAGTGTGATTGCTGTGTTCACACCTGCAGTTTCAAGTTAATTATTCTCCTAACTACAGACAACATCCCACCTGTCACTGTCAGGCGTATTTCTTCCATGCACCCCACATATGCAAGTAGGGCAGTGTTGTGAGATACTTCACTCGGTTATCAGAGAACAAGGGTTACCCTGGTAACTTAAACCTCGCTGGGTATCTCACTATGGGAGATGTGGCATGCTCCTGAATTGCAAGCCCTGAAGCCCATAACACCTCGACCCACACTGGTCAACACCACAAGCCCTCCCCTTGGGCTAGCACACAGGCAGGCTATACACAGTTAACATGAACCCACACTCAGGGCCGAGTGCGCCAGTGAAGGTGATGGTGATCGGTCACGCCTGAAGGCATTCCCATAGTGAGATACCTCAGAGAACCGGGGTTATCATGGTAACCTGAAGTTTCCATCTGCAGGCTGCACACAGTCACTTCACTGACAAGAAACACGTCCTCCACAAACTGTTAGGTTTACACAAACAGTACACCGTGTTATGAGACATGTTGGTTCAAGTTGTCTTTAATTACTTTATCACAATATAAACAGTTGTGTTGTGACAGTATACAAAGTCATGGTTTGGTTCATACCCTTGTTTAAGAGTCATGGTTTGGTGTCAGTTTGGTACTACGGGGGAAAACACATGCTGAAGGATGTGTTTCTTTTTATTTATTTTGAACAGACAGTAGTGCAGGTGTCAGAGACAGACAGAATCCTCCTGCTGGGGACTGAGGGAACATTTTGCCCGCCGGCAGCTTTGGTACAAATAAGGAACATTTCAAACACTGAACAAACAGTTTCCCAAAAGACAACAGGTCACAACATGCTATAAAACTAGAAGCATCTTCTATGATATGAAAGTGAAAACACAAAATACATAGAATAATAAAAAATATAAGTTGCGCATTAGAGGAAGTAAAAGTGTCACAGTTAGTTCCTCCGTGGCCACATTCAAAGCACCCAAACATACATCATCCCTGCAATCGGCACATCTGGGTCATGCAGCTGAATGTGCGTTAGCGTGTTGCTACCATCAGCAAATGTTGGTGTGCAGCAGTTACAGACGCAAGACCCTCTTTTACCCAGAACCAGACTCAGGACAATGGGAGATAGGGCCTTCGGTGCTGCTGCCCCCCGTCTGTGGAATGCCCTCCCTGACACCTTGAAGGCACCACAATCCACTGACTGTTTTAAAAAAGATCTTAAGACATTTCTTTTTAGCAAAGCTTTTGGTCCCCCTTAGATGTTTTTGTTTTTAAACCTTTTAAATAACTGCTCATCTTGTTTTTATTCCCTTCCATTCCCTTTTTTATTATTATTATTTGTTATCGTTCTTTGTTTTTAACCTGTAGCACTTTGAGATCTTTTGATGAAAAGGGCATTATAAATAAACTGTATTATTATTATTATTATTTTTCAATAGTGGACTACACCTTGATGTCGATTAAATTTCTTTTAGAAATACCAAATAGGATGCTCCACACCATCATCCCCTTCTGGATGGAGGACAGCACCCACTCCTGCGTCAGTGGCATCAAGAGAGTTTAAACAGGCAGTCAAAGGCAGGTGCAGCAGGTATGGAGGCGTCAGTCAAAGCTTTAACACACCCAGATGCCTTCTTGTAAATAGTGGTACCTAGACCAGCGAAAGCATTTTGGAACTTAACAAATCAGAGCCGCGGCAGCAGAAAAGTTTTTTCAGAAATGTCTTTAATAACCCGCCATCCCCCCAAATATGGGACAGTGCAGTGCTTGCATCATCGCAGAGACCTCTCTGTCAGTTTGCCCTCAGCTTCAGCATTCTTTGTCTCTGTTGTGAAATGAAACCACTATTAAAACATCTTAATCCAGGCAGTTTGATGTAGGCAGTAACCCACCGTTAAGTTTAACAACAAGTAAGAAAACAACACCGCCTCCCTCCACCTTTCTGCCAGATTTGGATTCACCAACTGCCTGGTGTGAGCAGAGAGAGACGCCGGAATTTGTTCGTACCTGCGCAAAGATCAGAGCTACTAACAGGTTGATGAATGCAGAAATACACGCAAATTCGTTCAGCTCACGTTTCATGAATAAGACCCAGTGTATTCAGCATGCGGCTGCGTGCACCGGCCCGTGACGGTACGGTATGAACCTCTAAATTCAAATTTGTGTAAAGCAGCCTATACAGCGTCTTATGATCTTTACAGTGTGTCTCCAAGTATTCCCAGGGAGGTGAAGCTGAGGTCTGTAGACTGCAGAGTTTGAGTCATGTGAGGTCAGCACTCCTGATAGAGCTCTAGTGCATCTTTGGAGTTACTGCTGGAAAATGAACCTTTATCCAGACAACTCAACGAGCATCTGCAGAATTAATTCCGTCTTCAGAACAGCCCTCTTTCCTTTTTGCTCTCCTGAAATAAGCTCTCTGTTTGCCTCCATAAAGTTCAGACTTGGATTTATTGATCGACATCCTTCCGGTCTCCAGCAGTGGATTTTGATGTCGTTTGGCTCCGGCTGAACAATTAGACTCATTGAAGATGTAGTTTGGAAGCTGCTACTCTCCCATTAAGCCTGCCAGTTGTCATTTGATCACCCTCACTAAGTGGAGTACAGCGCTCTTTGCATCTTGGACGGAGATGCCGTTCTGTCTCGTAAATATGTTTGCTTGATATGTTGGCTTCAGATGCAGAGAGCTTACTCGAGGGCTCGAGGGCTCGAGGGCTGTGTTTGTCTGAAAATCTCTCCAGCTTGAATTCTTTCATCCCCCTTTAAATTGTCCAATTGAGCCGCTCTGCTGCTTCTTCAGCATTCAGAGGAACAAACTGCTCCTTAACAGCTTCACTTAAACTCTTCTGACTTAATGAAAAACTGGAAAATATTCTTTATCGTTCGTAATTGTAGTTGGAAGGAGTGTCAGTGGAAACAAAGACTGTCAGAATTTAATCAGTCTTGTTTTATTAGTTAAAAATAATTCACATATTTCTGGTTTATATGGTTGTTTCCAAAAAGGTTAGTAGGATGGTTAATGTCTCTGCGCCATCAATAGCTGTGCAGGAATTTCTTCTAATTTGGCACAAATGTCCTCCCGTGTTTAACGATAATCTGATTAGATTTTGGAGGTCGAAGGTCAAGATCACTATGACTTTGTCTGTGTCATTCTTGTGAACACAATATTTCAAGAATGTGTTGTGGGAGGTTTTTGGGTGGTAATTAAGCACAAATGTCCACTTGGACTCAACGATGAACCGAATTCAATTTGGTGGATAAAGGTCAATGTCACTTTGACCTAGCCCATGGCATTTTAACGAACACAGTATCTCAAGAAAACCGTAAAGGATTTTGTTTTAATTTGGCACAAACATCCACTTGACTCAAAGATAAATTGATTAGATTTTAGTAGTTGAACGTCAAGGTCACTGTGACCTCATCTTTGTCATTGTTGTAAATACAGTATTTCAAGAATGCATTGAGGTTTGAGGAGTTTTGTTTTTGTTTTTTTATTTGGCACAAATGTACACCTGGACTCTATGATGAAATGATGACATTTTGGTTGTCAGAAGTGAAGGTCACTGTGACCTTGTCTGTTTTCATGATATCTCATAAGAAGAACATCTTATGGGAATTTCTGCAAATTTGGCACAAATGTCCATGTTGAGTCAAAGATGAACTGATATGATTTTGCTGGTCAAACGTTAAGGTCACTGTGACCTTGCATCTGTCTCATTCACTTAAACAAAATATCTCAAGAAAGCCTTGAGGGAATTTCCTCAAATTTGGCACAAACGTCCAATTGGACTCAAGAATTAGAATGTGGCACTGTGACTTCACAAAACATGTTTTTGGCGATAATTCAATAATTTATACACTAATTATGACAAAATCCCACGCAAACAACTTCACTGTGACATCATAATGTTCTGCAGAAACACTTTCCTGGCCATTACTCAATGTCTTAACTCAGGAGCAGAAGGGGAGACATTTGGTCAGATACTGAATTGGTGACACTAATCTTGGGTGTACATCTTGACACTGTGCTGTTTGTATAGATCTGCTGTGCTGCCGGGGGGAAGATGTGTGAAGTGTAGATGCAAACTGTAACTGCAACTTGGCAGGTTCATGGACAGTTGGCAATTCTTGAATGTATTTGAGTTCAGAATATTTGAGCCATTCACACTGAGAATTGCTTAGATTTTCTCAATGATGTGAATACTGACTATAATCATCTTTACATCGAGAGAAAATGATTTAACTAGACAGGACTTTAATGCCCATAACACTTTTTATTTTCCTTTCATGTACCGAATCTGGGGGCCTTCTACCTTTTTGGAGAGTGCCACAGAATGAAGGATCCTGATTGAAAAACTTTTTAAATCCCTTTTTA